TGCCCGCGGTGGAGGCGCCGAGCCCGGAACGCACGGGAGCCGGAGGGGTGTTGTCGATTCATTTGATCTTTGCCTTCAGGAAAACGGGGAAACTTTCCTTGGAGTTCCGGGAGGGGAACGGACTCCTCTGCTGGTCCCGCTGCTCGGTTTGGGGCCCGACCGAAGAGCTTTGGGATTGCTGGTGTGGAGATCGCCTTTCCACCCGGCAGTGTGGTCAAGGGAGTGGGGAGCGAGGGGCCACCCGGACCGCCCGGACCAGGAGCCCGGTGGTGATGGCTTGGGGCCTCAGAGTCGCAGCTGCCCCTTAGTGGCACCGGGTTACATGGGGTGTGCAGAGGGACTGAATGATGCCTCTTCCCTGAGCTATGGCTGAGCCTCTGAAAGGCATGCCCTGGGCACGTTCTTCACCCTTGCCTCTGCTGCCCCTTCCCCAGGCAGGACACACCACACCACACACCACACCACACACACGGACCTCTCCACTTTCAGGTCCTGCGAATGGGAATGGAGGCAGGGCCGGCTAACCGGGGAACTGTATTTCTCTCAGGTAGAGCCGAGCCAGCAAGCACATAGCTGCGCAGAGCCCATAGGCGAGCCGAGCCCGGAGACTAGCGGCGAGGAGTTTTGCAATAAGTCAGGTCCAGAGTCAGGTTCCGGGGACCTTATTGATCGCACCCTGAACTGATGATGGTGCAGCCCCTTCCCATTCTAAAACTGAATTTGGACGTGAAGCCCCGGAGAATTCGGCAGTTATTCTCTTATCTGGGGGTCTTGTGCAACTCGGGATCCTTCTTACTGGTTTAGGCTGTAGTGGGTCTAACCCAGAACGCATTCCTACGGCTGAGATTAGATTGCATAGCATTGGAGAAGGAAAAAATGAAATAAAAAGTTAGGTGGCTATCATAACTTACCGTGTGTGTGTGTGCGTGTGTGTGTATGTGTGTGTGTGTGTGTGTGTGTGTGAAGGTTGTCACTCTCTCCTCTCTGCCCGGGCAACCCTTGCCAGTGGATTCTTGAAATCCAGACCCTTTCATACATATTTTTCTTTTCCATTGCTGCATTAATTTAATTGTAATATATGCACATTTTTTAGATGAGTGTTTTCTGGTAATCTGTCATTTCAGGGGAAGGCATAAACAACTTTTGATGCAAGTCTGAAGGGCAGTATTTTGAGACAAAATATTTAAGTTTATGGACCTGGATCTGGCCAGCATTCTTCGTAGTCTTTTGGAAAGGAGGTGGGCATGTATCTGACCGCTCCAGTCTTCAAATAGTAGCCTCAAGTCTAGTGCACAAGTGTACAGAGGCAAAGATATTTTATCATGACTTGAATCAGAAAGCATGCTGAAATCTCCTTCTAGCCTCACACTGCTGCCTCCCACAGGAATGGGGGAATTTGCATAATTCTGGGGGCTGCCTCCCCTCAGAGGTAAGGAATGTGGGCTGGGAAGGTGCCATTGCCATTCCCAGGCTGCGGAGAGCGGAGAGCGAGCTGGTGGGTGAGGCGAGGCACGGCTCCCGATTTGTGAGTGTCACTTGAATTCTTCACCATCTTTTACTTAAAACAAACTGAGATCCTTGCAGGCCCTCTCTAGACAGACTGATCCCGTATAAGGGCTGTTTCCAGCTGGGCAGGGTGGTACGGTGTTTGCCGCGACTGAGAAAGCAGTTTTGAGAGGATGCAGCGCGTCCGAGATGGTGAGGAGCCTAGGGTTTTGTTGACTTTTGCATCTCTGAGCAGTCAGTCCTGTTGGTGAAAGTTGTGCCTTTGTCAGAGAATTGCAGAGCCTCAGGTGGGCGTGGACAGAGTGCCCTGAACTGGGGGGCCCGAAGGAAGCTCCCCTGGTGTTGGTGGTCCGGGGACCTCCGCACCAGACAACCAAGACAAGTTTGTGCTCTTAGGTCCCCGTTGTGGAGACTGCTTTTCTGTGGCTCTGTGGTTGCTCCTGGGAAGTAGTTGGATGTCCAACCCCTCAGGGAGCCCAGCCTCATAGGGGGGTGGGGGTGGGGGTGGGGAGCTGGGAACTGGTTTCCAAGCTCTCTTCCTCCAGCCCTCCCAGGGACTCCGGAGCCTCTGCCAGGGGTTCAGTTGGAGAGTGGGGGGGTTGGGGGGGTGCCTTTGCTGTGGCCAGAAGGGTGGCCTTCAACAGCTCCCAGGAAACGACCTATTCCCCATCTCCGGGAAGGAGTATGGGAACTTACTAACACCAAAATGCTTCCTCCCCTACCACCCCCACCCCCCCCCACCCACCTTCTAGAAATTAGCAGCAGAGATTGTAGGAAAAAGAAAAATCCTTGCCGTCCTCCTCTGCTTGTTGAAGCTTAGTGACCTCTTCTGGGCAAGCTGGCAAGGGATGAACCGGCTGTGAGAGGAGCCCAGCCTGCAGTCATCTGAGAGGGAGGGATGCGGGACAGCCGGTGCTCAAAGACCAACACTTGTCTTTTATTCCAGAGTGTTCCCTTAGCTGAAAGGTGCAGTGGGCTTCCAGGTGAACTTTGGAGGGGAAGGAGGCAGATTGAGCGTCAGCCCTTGTTGAATAAACACTCCTGCCGGTGAGTGTGGGAGATCAGAAAGATAGCTCTTCCCACAAAGATTCTGGAATGATCTTTGGGACACCTGGCTCATTCCACCTGGTTAGTCCTGTTGATAGTTGAGAGAGCATCAGCCCCAAAGCAGATTCTCACGGGAAGAAAGTGAAGAGCAAACCTTAGGGCAAACCCCTTCCTATTGAATGGAAATCTGTTCACTTTAGACTCAACAATTCTCCTGAACCTTCCTTATGAGGAGGTCATTGTCTTTAAATGAGGGAAAGGGAGCTTTCGGTCTAACCCAGCCATTTCAACCATTGAAATTACTAATTACTGAAATTCTGCGGCACACCAAGAAATATGTTATTCGCTGATCTGAAAAAAAAAAAAAGTAGCTATAATTTTGACTCATTCACACCGGATGGCTATTGTTGTATTGGCTGCTGTCATTTTTTTTTATTTGACAATCTAAGGGAAAAGAGGACAGTGCCCCTGACTAAACAGGCAGGTATTTCATGTTTTAAAAACTCCTGTGGTAACGCCGGTTGAACGTCACCCGTCTGACCAAGGAGATGGCTTGGAGGCTCTGCCAGCGAAGTTCTCTTTCCAGAACCACCAAACTATGTGTCTAGGAACAGGTCTTAGTTTATGTGGTTGCCATTGTTTTCCCGTCTATATGAAGGGCATAAAGCTACCTGGCAGGGTTTTACTCAGGTGAATGGGTTACTATCTACAGCCCTTTGAGCTCCTCCTCAATTGTGAATGTATTCGTTTCTGGGATGCAAACTCTCTGCTTTCAGTTTTACTCTCAGAGGCAACTAACCCAGCCCGCTGGCTGCCTTACCTCCAGGGTTATCACTGCGGAAATTACTGTGTGATCCTCCCTCCCTCTCTTGGACTCTGTCCTGTCACCCCCAGCCCACAGGTGCTAATGCATTTCTGTCTGTTCTCCCCTTGGCCTGCAGCTTCAGCCTGGCTGACCTCACTGAGCGCCGTTGAATGATGCATATGAAGCAGGGGGAGGGAGGTACTGTAAATTCCCAGGATGCCAGACCTCCTGACAAGGGTCCCTTGGGGGGTGGGGGGCAGGCAGACACCACAGCTCTCCCGCTTCTCACCCCGTCCATCTCTGCCTGGTCTCAAGTAAGGAGGAGAGCCTGATCTCAGGGCCCAGACTTGCCTCCCCACTCACATAGTTGGTTAAAAATTGTGGCTTATCCCCCGGAAGCCACTGGTTTTATTTGCTGTGCTGCTTCTTAGTTCTTATTTGCTCTGGACCCCTAGTGGCAGGGATGCCTGGATGAGCTAACGGGCTTCTCCTCCATGGGATTTCTTCTGCTTGACTGCCCCCAACCTGAGGTGCTCAGGACTGTCAGGGACTGAAACGTCACTATGTTCTCTACTCACGTAACAGAGGCGCGCTTAGTTTTTACAGCTTCTGATAAGGCCACATCACGAGAGAGTGACTAAGCCTTATGAGAAACGCGCGAGGGCCTGGGAATAAATGGAATACTAATGGTCAGCTTTTTTCTCCCCCTTTTCTCCTTCCTCCCCCTCTTCTCCCCCAATCAAAGAGTCAGACCCTCAGTGGAAACGCGCCTGTCCTCTGGGGGGAGGTCTTTGATCAGACCCATGTTCTTCCGTTCCAGGAAGTCGCTCTGTGACCCACGTCTGCCGCCCACAAGACCACGCCACAGAGCCGGGTGCAGGATGAGCCAGCCGCGCACTGTCCGCCCAACATACACCAGACCCTCCGACTGAACCCCGAGAGCCTGAAGATGTCTGCGTGCAGTGACTTTGTGGAGCACATCTGGAAGCCCGGGTCTTGCAAGAACTGCTTCTGCCTGCGGGGCGACCATCAGCTGTTGCCCACCTGTCCCCAGCCCAGAGCAGGCGGCCTGCCTCCTCCTCGCCTGCCCCCCAGGTCTGAGCACTGCCGCCTGGAAGATGAGGGCGTGAACAGCTCGCCCTACTCGAAGCCCACCATCGCCGTGAAGCCCACCATGCTGAGCTCCGATGCCTCCGACGTGTGTACGGAGGCGAACATGAGCCCCAATGCCTCGCAGGTGAGCCTGACTCAGCCCTGTGGCATTTTTACAGGCCCTGCTCCTGTGGTAACGCTTGCTGACTGGCCGGCAGCCAGGAAGGGCTATTAGAGAAAGACTCCCGCAGGATGACTGCCCGTCAGCGTGTCCCGAGACCGCTCCTTCCTGACTGCTGCCCTCCTTCCCATCTGTTTCTTTCTTTCTTCCTTTTTTAAAAAATATATTTCTTTATTGACTTCAGAGAGGAAGGGAGAGGGAGAGAGAGATAGAAACATCAATGATGAGAGAGAATCATTGATTGGCTGCCTCCTGCACACCCCTACTGGGGATCGAGCCTGCAACCCAGGCATGTGCCTTTGGCCAGAATCGAACCTGGGACCCTTCAGGCTGCAGGCCGACTCTCTCTCCACTGAGCAAAACCAGCTAGGGCTTAATTGGTCATTTTAAATGTGTACACAAGGAGAATATTGCCCGATGAATTCCATGCATCCACCATGATGTAGCATGTATCAGCAGTCATCAACTTATGACCCATCTTGCTGCATCTCTACCCCTCACCCTCCCTTCCCATGATTTTAAAGCAAACCCAGTCATCACCTCACTTTGGTACATCTTTTTTAAAAAATGAAATCTTTTATAAACTATAACCACAATACCATTATCACACTTAAAAATATTAGCAGTAATCTATACTAATAAAAGGGTAATATGCTAATTAGACCAGACATCCTTCTGGACGTCCTTCTGGACAAAGCCCCGGTGATGGGGGCCGAGGCAGAGGCGGTTAGGGGCGATCAGGCCAGCAGGGAGAGCAGTTAGGGCAGTTAGGGGGATCAGGCCAGCAGGGGAGAGCAGTTAGGGAAGTTAGGGGGATCAGGCTGGCAAGGGAGAGCAGTTAAGGGGATCAGGCTGGCAGGCAGAGGCAGTTAGGGGCGATCAGGTAGGCAGGGGTCCTGGATTGGAGAGGGTGCAGACTGGGCTGAGGGTTCCCCCCCACCCCCGCCATGCACAGATTTTGTGCACTGGGCCTCTAGTTCCTTAATATCCCATCCCCAGCCAATGTTCATATTTCCAGTTGTGAAGCTTGGATTTTTACCAGCTTTGACTTAGGATCACTAAGTAAAACAGTTCCATCCCTAGAGAGAAGACCGTTCTGCTCATTCCACAGCGAGTGCTTGCAAAGGCATAATTATTGACCCCCGCCATGCACAGATTTTGTGCACTGAGCCTCTAGTTCCTTAATATCCCATCCCCAGCCAATGTTCATATTTCCAGTTGTGAAGCTTGGATTTTTACCAGCTTTGACTTAGGATCACTAAGTAAAACAGTTCCATCCCTAGAGAGAAGACCGTTCTGCTCATTCCACAGCGAGTGCTTGCAAAGGCATAATTATTTAGAGGGCATGGACAGGACAGCCTGCTCCAGACATGTCTACGGAGCTGGACGTCTGGGACGTGTCTTAAGAACTGCTTGCGAACTCTGTGATCTCTTTGCCTGTTTTAGTTTTCCCAAAACATCCTAGTGAGGGGACTGGGAAGGGTGTGGGAGCTTCTGGGAAGTCAGAGGTCAGAGATGGGCCCGGGGAGGGAGGCTCAGTTGTGTAAAGGCACCTCCTCTCGTGGCACCGAGCTCCCTGTCCCCGCAGGGCTGCTCCATTTTTGGCAAGCTGGTCATGTCCATTCACCAGGTCACCCTTCACAGACATAAGCCAGGGACGCTTTCTGTTCAGAATCATCTTGGAAAAGAGCTGGAATGCAGAGCCTACTCTGAAGCTGATGCTAAAAGTGGGGGTCCGGGGAACTTTAGAAATAGAGAAGGAGGGGACAGTGACTTCAGTGATGAGAATGACCAGTTCACCTTCCCAGTTCAAGTACTGCAACCACCTGGGCAGGCCCCGGCTGAGGTCGCTGCCTATAACTGGCAGCTCTTGGACACGATTCATCCCAGAAAGCACCCTCCTGCCCCTGCCCCCGCCCCTCACCCAAGGTGTTTTGAAAAGCCTTATAACTTTGGCTTCTTTAGGAATGTCACATGGCATGGTTATCAAAAGACTAACAAACACACAAAAATTACACAAAATCCGAAACTCTATTTTCAAAGCCCATAGGAGAACGAACCTCATCCGGCAGTTTCTAGGGGAAAGGCAAAATGTTCTTTTTTAGAGTGATATTTTTCCCCTGCTTCACAGACCTAAGCCCAGAGAATGACAGACCCAAGTGGGCGGGGCAGCTCAGTGTCTGGCTGCATGGGGCCCCAGCAACGATGGCGGGCTGCGGGCAGATTGGGAGGTAAGCGTGCTGCCCGGCCTCTGCCCTGCGAGGTCGTGGCACGTCCCTCTCACAGTTTCTCTCTCCCTTTCTCTCTGGTGAGGTCTAATGTCAGTTTTCACCTTGGGGCTGTGTAGGACATCTGGAGATGGGCCCCCAGCAAGCTGCCCTTCCCGAAGCAGGAAGACGCTCCGATGGTTTGCCTGGGCAGCTTCCGAGGCGTCCAGGGAAGTGAGGGAGTGAGCCGGTGGCTATCCCCAGGGAAGCACATACCAGGCAGATACCCTCATCTATATAATAAAAGCCTAATAAGCTAAGTGTCTGGTCAGGCAGGCCCCGGCTGAGCTCGCTGCCTATAACTGGCAGCTCTTGGACACGATTCATCCCAGAAAGCACCCTCCTGCCCCTGCCCCCGCCCCTCACCCAAGGTGTTTTGAAAAGCCTTATAACTTTGGCTTCTTTAGGAATGTCACATGGCATGGTTATCAAAAGACTAACAAACACACAAAAATTACACAAAATCCGAAACTCTATTTTCAAAGCCCATAGGAGAACGAACCTCATCCGGCAGTTTCTAGGGGAAAGGCAAAATGTTCTTTTTTAGAGTGATATTTTTCCCCTGCTTCACAGACCTAAGCCCAGAGAATGACAGACCAAAGTGGGCGGGGCAGCTCAGTGTCTGGCTGCATGGGGCCCCAGCAACGATGGGGGGCTGCGGGCAGATTGGGAGGTAGGCGTGCTGCCCAGCCTCTGCCCTGTGAGGTCGTGGCACGTCCCTCTCACAGTTTCTCTCTCCCTTTCTCTCTGGTGAGGTCTAATGTCAGTTTTCACCTTGGGGCTGTGTAGGACATCTGGAGATGGGCCCCCAGCAAGCTGCCCTTCCCGAAGCAGGAAGACGCGCCGATGGTTTGCCTGGGCAGCTTCCGAGGCATCCAGAAGCCTGCTGTCCCGGCTGCCCCCGCAGATGGCCACCCTCGCTGCCCGCCGGTGTATGCCATGGTCGGCCTGCAGAGCGCCAGGGCCCGGGGCGAGCGGAGCACCGCCTTCCACCCGCTGAGTTTCCCCGAAGAGAAGGCTGGGCGAGAAGAAAAACCCACGTTTCCCCACCAAGAGTTGACCTCCGCCCAGGAGAGCCGCCACCGGAAGCTCGCTGGCGTGGGCAGCAGGACGGCACCTGGCTGTGCCAAGGACCCTGGGACCCACCCCTCTCCACAGCCCCCGCGGGAGTCCCTGCCCTCTGAGGATGACAGCGATCAGAGGTGCTCACCCTCCGGGGACAGCGAAGGGGGAGAATATTGCTCCATCCTGGACTGTTGTCCCAGGAGCCCCACTGCCAAGGACACCTCCCAGGGCGAGGGGGCCCGACACAGACCCGGCGGAGGGGACCGCCCCCCCACGTGCTGGGAGCAGGGAACGTGTGGGGGGCCGGCTGGGGACGTGAAGCAGGTGCTCGGCTTCCCGAGGGAGTGCTGTGGCCAGGGCCCCGCAGACACCCCGCCCCACCGGGGCCCCCGGAAGCTGTCCCCTCCCTCAGAGGCGGCCAGCTCCTCGGATGGCCTGTCCTGCGGCAGTGCCAGCAGCGGCGCCAGCAGCCCCTGCACCCCCCATCTCGAGAGCGATTACTGCTCCCTCGTGAAGGAGCCTGTGCCGGGAAAGCAGCAGGACTCCGGCTGCCACGGGATGGCCTCGAACAGGTGCCTTGGGCCGACTGGGGAGCCCCAGCCCCCCACCCACCCCAGGGAGGCTGTGCAGCCCGAACCCATCTATGCCGAGAGCACCAAGAGGAAGAAGGCTGTCCCAGTGCCCTCTAGGCCACAGGGCAAGGCGGAGCAGCCAGCAGCTGGCCACGGCCAGGGCCACGGCCAGGGCAGGATGGTGCAGTTTCATACTCAGAAGACAGCATCTGGCGGTAGCTGGGACAGGGAAGGCCCCGATGTGGGCCCCAAGGTGGCAGCCACCATTACCATCATGGCGGCCTCCCCGAAGGAGGACCACCGGACCATCTACCTGAGCAGCCCGGACTCTGCGGTGGGTGTGCAGTGGCTACGCCCGTCGGTGGGCCAGGACTCTGGAGCAGGCGACCAGGAGACGTCAGCTGGGCAGGGGAAGGGCTCCAGGGAAGGCCACCATCATGCTGCGAGCCAGAACGTCCCCAAGGGGAGGCCTGCCATCCCTCCCAAGCTGTCTAAGGGGAGCCCCGGAGGGTCCCCGGTGTCACCCTCCCCCTCCCCACTGTCTGACCTCAGCGAAGGGAGCTCGGGTGGCAGCACTGGGCCCCAGCCTTTGTCCCGGTGCCCTGCCAACCCCGCTTCTTCCTGCCGGGCCAACGGTGTCCCCAACCATGACTCTGTCAAGTGTCCCCCACCTGCCACCACTGCCTCGGCCGCAGACCAGAGGCGGCCCCGGTACCAGACTGGGGCCTGGAGCCGTCAGTGCCGGATAGAGGAAGAGGAGGAGGTGGAGCAGAACCTGCTGAGTCAAAGCTGGGGAGGAGAGACGATGGCGAAGGGCACCAAGGACCCCTCCAGCTCCTCTACCTGGCACCATCTCTGCCCCACTGACGGCGCCTCGGGGCAGAACGACAAAGCGGGGACCGGGATGAGCAAATCGGCCTCTTTTGCCTTTGAGTTCCCCAAGGACAGACATGGGATTGAGGCCTTCTCACCTCCTCCGCCACCTCCGAAGTCCAGGTGAGTAGAGTGTCTGTGACCCGCCGGGTGGGAC